ACATTTATCTCCTTTTCTGTCAGCTAACAGAACCTAGAAGGAAAGATGCCTCAGTAAAAATAAGCACATGCAGTGCCCGGATCCTCATTCTAGCATCATTCTTCAATAAAACAAATTAATTTTCTTGGAGAAATAACTGATTTTAGAACTGGGGTCGAATACATATGAGATGCATCTGAAGCACAGTATAATGCTAAAAGTAAAAAAATATGTTAAAACAAGCTGGGTACCTGTAATCTCAGCAATCTGGGAGGCTGAAGCAGGAGGATTCCAAATTTATGGCCAGCCTTGGCAACTTAGTGGTGACTCCCTATCTGAAAACAAAAATAAAAAAGGGTTGGGGATATAGCTCAGTGGCAGAGCACCCCTGAGTTCAATCCCTACTATTGTAAAAAATAAAATTAAAATAAAAAAGAAAAGAAAATAAGTAAAGTCTGGTACCCTGAAACTTTATATATAACAGTAAACATGCTGGGCTGAGGCAGGAAGATGAAGTTCAAAGAGCCTCAGCAATTTATAGAGACCGTGTCTCTAAATAAAATATTAAAAAAGGGAAGGGGATGGGGCTCAGTGGTTAAGCACTGCTGCATTCAATCCCCAATAGCAAAAAAATAAAATAAATAAGTAAAAAGTCACTGATAGACCTGGGTACGAGATTACTTCAGGTCAAATACCAGGTCCCAGGCTATTTTAGATGGATATTCTTGGGCAATCTACTTAATTTACTATCCCTCAGTTTTCGTATGTAAAAAGAGAACAAATAATAATAATAATAACACAAACCCACAGGTTGTGATGGGGATTAAATAATACATGTAAAGCACTAGGACAGATCATGCCATGTGAGATTTAAGTATAAACTATTTAATCAGTTATTTCACTTATTCATTCATTCAGAAAACGTGGGCTGAAATGAAGAGTTATGAATTGGAAATAGAAAGAGCAAAAAGAAGAGCATGTTAAATTCAACTAGGGCAGGAGGAAAGAAAACTAGGAACTATAGAAGACAATAAAATAAAAATTGCAATCTTAGCTTGCTTTGTCAAACACGGGTAGGCTCATATAAAAGGAAAACTAAAACTTCATGTTAAATTTAATTTCTTAGTCCTCACAACTATAAAGTTAATATTGGGAGAGTCTAAATCACCATTTCAATTTTAAAGTTTTCTGGGCAGAAAGAACCTTCCCAAGGGGTTCTTTCAGCATTTCCAGATACCTGCAGATTTCTGTCTGCAAAGAAATCTGATAAAGTTTTTCAAACTCAACTGGATGGCGCTGGAGAAGATAGTGCTAAATGAAGTTAGCCAATCCCCAAAAAACAAATGCCGAATGTTTTCTCTGATATAAGGTGACTGCCTCATAGTGGGGTAGGGAGGGGGAGCATGGGAGGAATAGACAAACTCTAGCAGAGGTGTGGGAGGGACAGGGGGTTAGCAAGGATGGTGGAATGTGATGGACATCATTATCCAAAGTACATGTATGAAGACATGAATTGATGTGAACATACTTTATATACAACCAGAGATGTGAAAAATTGTGCTCTACATGTGTAACAAGAATTGTAATGCATTCCGCTGTCATTTATTTTTAAAAAAATTAATTAAAAAAAAAGAAAATATGTAGGTTTAGTACTTTTCCTCAGATACCAGCCAACTGAATTACCTGGTTTGTGTTAATGTGAAACTTTTTCATGTTTACATTATCTATTTGTGAATGAACATTTTAAATAATTCTCAAATGAAAAACAAGGACAGTGCTTAAAAATAATTATTAAAAAATAATGTATAGGGCTGAGGATATAACTCAGTTGGTAGAATATTTGCCTCTCGTGTACAAGGCCCTGGGTTCAATCCCCAACACCACACACACACACACACAAAAAAAAAAAAAAAAAAAAAAAAACAACGTGAAGCTGGGCATGGTGGCGCACACCTATAATCCCAGCGGCTTGGGAGGCTGAGACAGGAGAATTGCAAGTTCAAAACCACCCTCAGCAAAAGTGAGACACTAAGTGAGACCCTGTCTCTAAATAAAATATAAAATAGGGCTGGGGATGTGGCTCAGCAGTCAAGTACCCTTTAGTTCAATCCCTGGTACAAAAAAAAAAAAAAAAGTATAATATAATGCTACAAAATCCTGACTATAGACTGTTGTCTGAATCTATTATTTATGGAATGCAAATTCATAAGTGTTTCTGTATATTCACTATACAGTCCTTGAAAGAACAATTGTGTTAAAATAAGAAAAGGGAAAAAAAGAAATAATTAAAAGAGTTTAAGCTAAGTTTAAAAAGTTCATTTTATTAAATGTTGCATCATTGTTGCTTATCAGAAGTAGTTTTATAACTGAAACACATGATCACACAATTAAACAAATTAAATCATTTCAATTTTAAACTAATGACTATCTTATATACATCAAGAAGGTGGATTATATGGTCCTCCAAAGACTAAACATTAAAAAAAAAGATAATAGTGGAAAGATACTAAGAGGTGGGTAACACCAATAAAGGAAGTCATGTGTTTCTAAATCTAGGGAAGAAACATCACAGCAGACAGTTAAATTACACAATACTCCAAGTGGGTATTCAAGCATCTAAAAAAAAGTAGGTTCAATAATACAGATGTAAAATTGCTCTCCTAAGGCTCCCAGCTATTTGATGAGTCAAATACTCATCATTATCAAAATATATTTTTGAATTTAACAATCAAAAAGTGGTTGACCTTCAAATTACAGTCTGTATTTCCTTCTTTAACTTCATAACATTTTATGATAAAAGCAAAAGGAGAACAGTATAGGAAATAAAATGAAGGTCAAACTAGAGTTCATATAATTTACACATACACAAGTTCTTTCTACTTCTGCACTTTTGATTTACTTTCATCTACAGCAACTCAGTAATATTCCCCAAAAAATTGCATTTCAATTCTATCACTAATGGAGAATATTAGTGGTAAAGAATTGTGATCTTAGACTGTTAATTTCTATAGCCTGCTTTTCATACTCATGTGTAAAGGTGAGAAAGTTTTCTTAACTAATATTATTAATAGAATTTAACATCACAAACCCTGTTAAGTCCCTTAGGTGGCAAAGAATCAGTCTTTAAAATCCTAGTGAAAATCATTATGAGAAATGCAATTGTGGAACTATTAAAGGGCTCTTTTAAACTTATTAAAGTAAAAAATAAGGTTTTGAAAGATGACAAATAATTCAACATGTGAAAGATGCTATGATAAAAAGTGATGAAAAGCAATCAATATAATGAAGATATGCTGGCTAAGGATTCATCAAGAACTCTGCATGCTCAAGTATAATGTTCACTGAGGAGAAGAGGGGTTTGTTGGAGAATTATGTAAATGTTAACAGGGATTAAGGTGCTGACCAAATGTTTCTCTCAATTAATGAGAGATTCCATAGTAATCTATAAGCCTTTAATCTAAAGGCTTATTCAAATCTCTGAAAATCAAGTTAAGACCAAGGTACCAATGATGTACCAAGACCTCTAAAATTTCCTCATGACTTACTTGTGAAGATCATCAATAATGGTGTTAACTTTCATATTTTCTGTGGACATAAAACTGGCATACACACGCGCGCGCACACACACACACACACATATACACACATAGCATTGGTGCATTAAAATTATAAATAATAGTGGACTTAGTTGTTATATATTCATACGTGACATAATTTGGTCAATTTCATTCCTCAGTACCTCCCCTAAAACTGGACTATTTTGAAATTATATTCACAGACACATACATATATATCACATACATATTTGACACATAGATACTATGTAAGAGAAAATGGTTAGAGTGACTAGCTTAGAGGTTTTGAAAAATGAATTTACATTCTTTCATGAAAACATATTCAAGTACTAAAAAACACAAGCCTTGTGAAGTCATTTTGGATTCTTAAAATTAATTAAGGAGAGCCTGTTGAAACTCCTGCTGTTCTGAAAGAGAAATTTCTGTTAATTGCTTCTAAACGTCTGTGTCTTGTTTCTCCAATTATATTGCTCAAATCCTTCATAGGCTATGATTAACTTTCTAGTAATAACATCTAGTTTAAATAGAATGAAAAATCTAAACTAAAAAGTTAGGTAATTACAAATCAGCATGAACAGAGAATCCCAACATCAACTTTTTTACATAGTATTCACAAATATTCTTGTTCATTTTCTTCCTGAAAAAGAGACTGTAGAGATGAGATATTGATGGGAGTTTATATTTAACTAAGATTAAAACACAATAATTAGAAGAATTAAAAACTAGATTCCACTTCTATTTTTTAGTTAGTTTCTTGTTCTTTCATTTCTAATGTATTTTGAAAAGTATGTTTTGTTATTTTTCTTAAAAACATCATGAAAACAGCAATACATTTCTCAAACTGGTATCAAAATTACTTTGATGTATACTATAATATTCTCAGAAAGTACTTGAGTATCATAGTTCATGTAACAAGAGCTTCAATTTCACTGAGAAAACATTAAAATGGACATATATGAGATAAGTACATGCCATTTAATTGTATAAAAGTGTTTAGTGAAAATAAAATGGATTTTAGCACTATTTAATACTCATAGGAAACAATTAACAATAACCTTTAGAACAAAATAATTAAAATTCAGGTTTTACTCAAGCAGTACTATGAAAGGAAGAGTTCAGTTTTTGAGTGGCTACATTTCAAAACACATTTGTGCATCCTAGGAAACAATATAAAATTGGGGGTGACTAATATTAACATATTTCCCAGATATATGCTTTGCAAACACACACATACACACCCAGGCACACCCTGGCACACAAACACACTAATACATACTCATTCTTTCTTCTTCTTCTACCACCCTGCATATCTTTCACCCTCATCACTCTCTCTTTCTACATAAACACATATTAATCATGGAAAACCAAAGGAGAATAGTGAATATGGAAAATAGAGTTCATTAAAAATTTGTTGTATAATTTTATAAAAGATGTGAAAATACTTACTTCATCAGCCACCATACACCTGAAAAAAAATTAAAAAAAATTAATTTCTTGTTTTTTAAATATTTTTTTAGTTGTAGATGAACATAATATCTTTATTTTATTTATTTATTTTTATGTGGTGCTGAGGAGAGAACCCAGTGCCTCCAAGTGCTAGGCAAGTGCTCTACCACCGAGCTACAACCCCAGTCCCTAATTTCTTAATTATCAAACCAATCATCTTAAAACAAACAAACATAAAATTTGTCATCTTAACCATTTTAACTGCACAGTAATGTTAATTATGTGCATCTTGCAGATCTCTACAGCTCTTTTCATCTTGCAGAACAGAAATGCTCTACTCTTTGAGACACTACCATAAAATGTTGACAAATACTTAAGGACCAGGCTAGAAAGAGATGTTTATAAATGTAGAGGAAACATGGACCAGTTCTGATTTTATATGATTTTCCAGCTGGCAAAGGCATGTGGCTATGTGGTAGTATTACAGCTTCAGATGTGCTATGCCCATGGCCTACCCATGAAGAGTGGCACTGACCCTTCAAAATGTGACAAAATGGCAAGTGATGGTACAAATGACTTCCCACTTCATTCTTGTTAGGTGCAGGGCGGGCTGAACAAATGTTAGCTGCAGGATAGCCCATGCACCCAAACCCCCCTGTGTCTGGTCCTTTATCACCTGTTTACTTCAAAGCTGAACACTCAACCCACCCCCCCAAGGCTGAACACTTAACCCCACCCTTGTGCCAAAAAGGCAGCTTGCAGACCCAGAGGCCTCATTAGATTTGGGCTATAAAAACTCCCTCCTGCCAGGCCCCTCTCTCTCTTGCTCTGTCTCTCTCTCTTGCTCTCTCTTTCTTCTCTCTTTCTCTCTCTTTCTTTTCTCCTTTGTTGCACTGCTGCAATAAAGATCTATTGGTTGCTCTGAGTGTTGTGGTCACTTTCATTTCAATTCTTAATCTTCACCATTGGTATTTCATAGAGATTAGAAGAATGCTGTGTGAAGGTGCAAAAAAAAAAAAAAAAAACCCAAGTGTCAGCATCTTTTGGCATAAGTTAAATATCTAATTATATGTTACGGTATACATACTAAACCTATCGACAAACTGAGTTTTAATTCCTATTATTTTGAAGAACTTTCTCTTCTTTATTCTTCCTTTTTTTCTCCCTCCTGTTAATTTTCTAGATGGGGGTCTCATTATGTTGCACAGGCTAGTCTAAAACACGTAGGCTCAAAGGGCTGGGGTTGTGGCTCAGAGGTAGAGCACTCACCTAGCATGTGCAACATCGTGGGTTCGATCTTCGGCACCACATAAAAATAAATAAATAAAAAGGGACTGTGTCAACTACAACTAAAAAATAAATATTAAAAACAAACAAACAACAACAAAAAAAACATGTAGGCTCAAGCAATCCTCCTGCCTCAGCCTCCCAGATAGCTGGGACTACAAGCATGTGTCACCACTTCTTACATTTGCAGAAATAACCTCCATTCCCAGCCAATCTACCTCTTTTTTGTAAAGGATGGCAAAAAGATGCTTGAAGGTAACAAAGATCTTCAATACAACACTACTCATAGAAACCATCTGAGGAGAGAAACTTGAGAAAACAAAAATAAACATACCTTGATAAAGATTCAAGATGAGAGAACATGAAAATCTGGAAAGCAATGAAGCTTGGTATGTAAGAATTTGATGAATGGTACATATTCTAAATAAGGATAATAGAAACAGAAAGGAAGACAATAAGAAAAAGTGTGCAAAAAGGAAGTAAAGTAACGGAGGAGGGGAGCTAAAAACATTCTAAAGCAAAGTAACAAACACATGATTTATAGTCAGGAGACTAGATGAAAACACCTATAGAGGAAGAGTATGGAGAGAAGAGAGGGTGGAATAGGGGAGTGGCTCAAAGAGTAAAGCAATTCTGTTCTGCAAGATGAAAGAGCTGTAGAGATTGGCTGCACAGCAAGATGCACATAATTAACATTACCATGCAGTTAAAATGGTTAAGATAGCAAATTTTATGCTTGTTTGTTTTAACCACAATAGAGAAAAAAGTATAGAGAAAAGAAAAGACATTCACACACTGAGTCCTGGAGTACTCCAATAATCAGAGATCACAAAGAGGAGAAGGATCCAGGACAAAAGACTGAGAAGAAGTGTCCAGTTAGACACCAAAACATGGCAAGTTCAAGGCCAGCATAGGCAACTTAGTAAGACCTCATCTCAAAATAAAAATTTAAAAGTGTGGGTAGGGGAGACATAGCTTAATGGTAGAGTGCTTGCCTAGCATGTGCAAGGCCCTGGCGTCAATCTCCACTATCACAAAATAAATAAGTAAAAGGGAAAATATGGCTAATACATTTATTACTTTATAGAAAATTTATATAATATTTCATTAAAACTAAAGTCTACTTTGTAAAGGGAGGGCTGCCAATAATCACCATTATCCTTGGAAATAAAATAGCTTTTCACCCATTGAGAAATAGCAAATCGGACCCAAGTTATAGGACCCTTAACCAACAATGAAAAAGAATACTTCCTTGTTAAACACTATCCACTGTATTTGCCAAACTTGGTTTGGTGTACCTATAATTCTATAATAATTTTACAGGTAGTTCAGTTTTCCATTTGTAACAAACATAAATAATATTATTTGATCCAAAATCATTGTTAATTTTTTACACTGTAATTTATCAGCTTGGCTCTAGACACCAAAAGCAACTTTTCATTTTACTGAATTGTTTCCAAAACCTTGAGGCTCCTTATATTAATCGTCCACTTAAAATATTAATATATACTCCAGTGTTTACAACATCCAAATCTTTGGATGCACATGTTTGGTGTTTGCTATTTTTAATTCAAATTCTGATACAGAGAGAAAACTGAACAGCATTACACTTTTTGGAGAAACACTTTATATTCCAGCTAAATTTCTATTAAAAGACACATTGAAATGAACAATTTGAATCTAAAGTGAAGCTTTTCTTCAAATTTTTTACATAAAAAAACACATTTTCTATAATTAACACCCATATAAACAGATTATATACACAAAAATAAAACAGTAAAGCTCTCCAAAAAATACTTACAATTACACAAAAAATTTAATGAGGTGCGTAGATATAAAATAGGCACTCTTATTCTGTTTGGAATTCTAGGTATAGGATTAAAGGCATCATATCTGAAAACAGTCATCTACTTAATCAGTTGCCATGTACGCTTCAGCATCAGTAAACTATTACTGCAAAGAGAAGACAAGCCTTTGAGATACTCATGTTGAATTTTTCCATTAGTAAAAATCAATTCCCATTCTTTAATACAGTATATTTGACCAAAGCTACCTTAATTAATGTTGGCTGAATAACTTCCACCTACTTCCCTAAAAGATCAAGCAATAAAGACCATGAATCCAGAGGACCAAACCACAGTATTTTTTGCAACCACAATAATTTCTTAAAAATTTACCCTATAACTATAAAAAGTCACAATGATGAATTCATTTTTTAGTTCTAATTTCATTAAGTTTTTTAATTGGTGATACATTCAAAAGCACATTATTCGAGAAACAGAAAAATGTACAAAATGGAAAGTCTCTCCAATCTCTATTCCTTAAGGATGACTCAGATACTGCCCTCTATAAGGCTAATTACCAATTTCTTGTGATTCTTTCTAGAAATATTCTCTATAAGTACAATTTATTATGTGTTCATAAAGAACCTGCTGATTTATACCTTTCCGAATCTAGTTTAAAATCCAAATATAAACACAAGTGTCCTAAAATCATGGAAACTAAGAAAAGAAAAAAATTAGGTCAAAAATATGAAAAGAATTCTTGTTTTCCACTAATTTGGGAAATGACAAGTGCCTTTGTATATAGTGAGGAAACCTTGGCTGCAGCCCATATCTAGCTTGGCCTCTTTGTAATGTCCAAAATAGAACCATCACTTCCTAGAAAATCTTGAGTGGAACTTCCACATGCAACTGAGTCTCCTCCTAGCTCTCATATCTGCCTTTTTCCCCAGTACCTCTCATTTTCCCAACCTTTTGGGTCCTCAATCCTTTGTCATTTTCACTTCTTATCTTCCCCAAATTCCTGAGGTTATCACACATTCCCCTATTTTTAAGTATACTCATACACAAGTCTTAAATGTACATTAGGCTATTAGCATATGCTCCAGATATACCGAAAAAGCTGCTTTGGGGCATTTTCCCCCTGGATATTCATTCTGAAGTTATTATTACAGTCAATTTCATGTTGATACTTAAAATTAAAGCTGAATAAACCCTAGATTTAAAAAAAAAATCTAAAGAAATTATTTAAACAATGGATTTGAATCTGTAATTCTTACTCTTTGGTCATAAATTTTCATATTGAAAACTAAAAAACTATAGAATTTACTTTGATTGCATACCAAATCAGTCTATAGCACTTCTGTAAGAGTTTAAAACATTGCTCTTAATTACAAGCAGATAATTATAAATGTCCTACATATTCATACACAGTTTCTTAATCTCATCCATTTTATGAAAAAACCTAAACCAAGTAAATCAAGCTGTGATCATGGAAGAGTACCATAAAACCTTTATTGCCATTAGAATGGTGATAATCAGTTCTATTCAATATGAACCAAATAACTGTTCACTCTTAGAAGAAATAATCACAACAGATACGAGTGAGTAGCAGAGGATGGTAGTTTCAAATTTAGGTATTATAAATGAAGGAATAGTGGGTGACTTTAAAAACTGCTTTTACAATATGAATCTCATTACTATATATAATTATAATGAACCAGAAACAAATGAACAAACAAACCAAAACCATGGTTTTCCATTAGGAGGCAGAGCAAGAACAAAATGACTCTTATCACAAAAGGGAATTACTATTATCACATAATTCGTAACAAGAGTGGGATGGTTCCAGGACTGAGTAATTCAGTGGCCTACTCATGTCACCTTTCTCCTTTGCCATTCTTAACAGCTTCAGACATTTAGTCTTACCCACCAGTGTCAGAAACACATA